CAACTGGGCAGGGAAGGAAATTAAGACATCCAAACTATAAGGGAGGAGCAAGACACTTACAGATGATATGATCTTACACACACACACACACACACACACACACAAATAAGGGAGTGGCTTTAAAAAATGAAGGGCTAGGGAGATTGCTCAGTGGCTAAGAACACTGGCTGCTCTTCAGAGGTTCTGAGTTCAATTCCCAGCATCCACATGGTGGCTCACAACTACCTATGAGATCTGTTGCTCTCTTCTGGTGTGTAGATGTACATGCAAACAAAACATTGATATACATAAAATAACTAAATCTAAATAAATAACTAAACAATTGGAACTAATAATTCTGCTCAGCAAGGTTATAGGATTTAAAAGAGATCAGCAGCACAAAAATGAACTATATGTACTACTATATGTAATAATCTTAAAATGAAATTAAGAAAATAATTCCAAGATGGGCATGGTGACACATGCTTTTAATTCCAGCACTAGGAGGCAGAGGCAGATGGATCTCTGTGAGTTTGAGGCCAGTCCAATCTACAAACTGAGTTCCAGGACAGCCAGGGCTGTTACATTACACAGAGATACCCTGTCTCAAAAAGAGGAATAAATAATTACATTTAAAATGTCTTCAAAATTGGCATGGGCCCTCTGTTCAACTGCCAGAACCATCCAAAAAATATTTTTAGAGAAAAGACTTAAATTTACAAACATTGTACCATATCCTCTGAGCCAAATGCAGCTGGGCTGTCTGTAACCCCAACTCCGGAGAGGCAGACGGAAGAGTCCCAGTTCCAGGCTAGCCTGGGTTACAAAGGAAGACCCTTTCTCAAAAGAAAAAAAACCCATACTCTGGAAATTTAAATCATTGCTGCAGGAATTAAAGATGATCAAAACAGACAGAAAGCATTCCCAGATCCATGTAGTATATCCATGACTTGATATAGTTAAGATGGCACTATTTTCCAAGAGACCTACAGCTTTGATGCAGTAACTATCAGAACCTGAGCTGGCTTCTTTGTAGCAAGTATCAAGTTGTTTTTTTTTTAATTCATATGAAACTGCAAGAGAATCCAGAGAGTCAAATGATACTGAGAAAATACAACAGCAAGAGATGACATTCATTTCCCAATGTCAACATTTACTTCAAGACCACCTAGGAACCAAGACAGTAAAGCTGCCCTGAGGACACATGGAAATGGAACATGGCTGAGAACCCAGAAGTAAATCGTGTCTGTGGCCCCTAACACACCTAATACCATCAACCTCAACTTCTCATGCTGAGTTAAAGAGCTATATTCAAGAACTAAATCTATAAAACTTCTACAGGGAGGCACGAGGGTATGTCTTCAGGCTTGGTGATAGATTCCAAGGAAATCCAAAGCAAAACAGTAACAAAAGAAAACGGGTAAATTAGACTTCATTTAAGTATGGTTATGCTTACATCTATTTAAGTTTTTAAGAATTGCTTCATTTTTATTTTATATATTTAAGCGTTTTGGCTCATGTGCATCTGTGTATATGTGTGTGGTGCCTTGGAAGTCAGAAGAGAACATTGAATCCTCTAGACCTAGTGGAGACTTTCCCCAAGGGCCCATGATCTCTCGTCTCGGGTTCTTGGCATCATTAACAGTATCAGGCATGGGCTCTATCTCATGGAACTGGCTTTAAATTCAATTAGGAATTGGTTGGTTACTGCCATAATATTCATGCCACCACTGCACCAATGGGTATATATTGCAAAAGAGTCATTCTTGTAGCTCGCAGGCTTTGAAGCTGGTGAGATGGTTGCCTGCTTTACTCCTCTGCAGTGTCCAGCACTGTCCAGCACCATGGATGCTAGCGAGTAGGGGTGAAGCTTCCGGTTGAACACCAGCTCCAATTCTCCTTATTTTATGTCATAAGTATGTGCTGTCTTTGGCAACAGGGTCTAACCTTCAGAATGTGGGGAGTAACCAAGCTGGTTATGCTATGTTGGCAATATTCTGTAATGTCTAGGGGCTTGGGGGAACCCTTCTAGTCAACAACTCAAGATGTAACCCACGTGGACTTTAATTTGGTAGCATATTATGTCCAGTTGTGGTATTGTCTCCCTCAATACACGGTGACTATGTTTAACTTCCTTTTATATGTACATATTTTAGAAACCTTTTCCAGTACTAGGTCACATGGTTTTTGAGGGGCCTTTATCTTGTTAGTGCCACCCCACATTCCCTCCTCTATCTGCCCTCTCATTCCTGCTAATCCTCCCGTTGCAATTTTCCTTTTAGCCCTTTATATCCTCAAAGAATCCTCCTTCCCTGATCTCTTACTAGCTATGTCATCCCTGTGGCTATTCTAATGAAACACTCAGATCTAAAGCACAAAGCTAATGTCTGTATATAAAACGAAGAGAGCACTGCTCGTCTGTGTGCGACTTGGTTCCCTCACACAGGATGGATGTTTCTAGCTCCAACCATTTACCTGCATCTTTCATAATTGCATCTGTCTTAACAGCTGAACAACTGTGTAAGCCAAGTGTTCCTATGGGGAAATGGAAGGTAGAGAAAGGGGAGCTGCTGGCTTGAAGGCCTGCTAGCCTGGAGTAGAGAGTGTCAGGGACAAAGAGATTCAGTCTCCGACAAGATGGAAGATGAGGACAAACCAAAACCCGAGACTGCTCTCAGATGTTCATAAGCTCACTGTGGCACAAATGTGCACACACACACATGGAGGGGGTGGGGTCACATGCTCACTGTGGCATGAATGTGCACACAGACACGAAACCATAAAAGCCTTCCTTCTTCTCATTCAAGACTTATCTGCGGAGCAGATATCAAGCTAACGACTGAAGAGTTACTTCCAGGGTTTGCACATAAATACTGAAGACTAAAGCCAAAGGCACTCCTCAGTCATCACTACGGCAAATCCGCACAAAGTAAACAAGGAGTGACAGACAAGTGTCGCATGTAGGACGCACCTCTGATGTGGAAACTGCCATCATCGTTCCTCTCCACCACAAGGTGGTCGATATGCACAGTCACAGGGCTTGGCTGCAGGGACACCGTGCTGCTGCGGGGACTGTCATCCTAGAGGTAAGGGACAAAATATTGGCATGTTCTCATTAAAATATAAAAATAGTTGGTGCCTGCCTTTAATCCCAGCACTCGGGAGGCAGAGGCAGGCGGGTCTCTGTGAGTTCGAGGCCAGCCTGGTCTACAGAGCAAGTTCTAGGACAACCAGGACTGCACAGAGATACCTTGTCTCAAACGGGAAAATATTAAAATAGTCAACTTGAATAAACATGACTTTAGTTCATTCTACTTTTAGTGACTTAAAAGTTTATCTATACAATTTTAGTTAGTATGTCAAAAACATTGCCGGCACTATTTTCCCTTCTAGAAAGGATCTGTGAGCTCCACTGTAAAGACTACTCTCTCACTTTCATCAGTTCCAACGGAGGGCATAATTTGGAGAAGGCATGACTTTACCAGAAGAGGGAATGCAAACAGAAGAGAGAAAACAAAAACTCAGCTCTTAACATACTTTCAAGTTTATCTTTGTATTGGAAACTTGTATCTTCATTGGCATTACAGTTGCAACAGTTTCATCTTCCAAAAAATGTTGAATATTCAAAAGAGAAGATGTTAGAAACTCAGTACTAAAGTTCTCTATGTGGCATTGGAGAAATCCATTTTTTTCTGCAAGCAAAGAGTGTATTACAGCACCGGGTCCGCTTTCAAACCTCAGAGAAATCTCAGGAGAGGATTTGGGACGAATTCCAGCTTTCTGGTCAGAACCTAAGAAGCAAACATACAAACTCTAACTTTGTAACATTACTAAAAGAACATTATATGCCATTAAGATTACAGTAGGATATATCAAAGACACTGCATATTAAAGGAATATATGAAACAGCTTTAATATTTACTAATTTAAATGATTATCTAATATAAATAAGATACAGCATAAGAACCACAATTTCACTTTTTCTGGGTAATTTTCAAATAAAATACTGGCAGGTTTTCTACACTTTCTACTTTTTCATAATAGGGGAAATTCATGTCACACTCTGAAAGGATGTGCTCTTCAGATCTGATGCCCATGGGAGCGCCCAGCTATGTCTCTGGAGTAAGACAGACGACCGAGGCGAAGCGGCCACGGCATTCAAAGTCATTCTTAGGCTCTGCGCCTTCCCCATTTAATAAGTCAGGACCTTGAAGAATATGAATGTATACAGAGAAGATGCTATTGCAGCAACCCTAGAGAACACTTAGAACTGAAATTAGAGTAAAGAATGTATGTAATTCACGATTACATTTTTTTCTGGATTGACCTTGTGCCAAGAAAGAATTTGAGTTGGTTTACCAAGATAAACACCAACATTTAAAAACAAAATTTAAACTTCAATAAAAGTTTTAGAGAACATCCGACTTAAAAAGCTACTAGTAATGGAAAGACTGAAGTCAATTAGCTGTGAACAGAAATTGTGGGATATTTTGCGTGTTTACTTTAGGCCAACTAATGTCAGTAACAAGCAACACGCACGCAGCGCAGCAACCACCTCAGCTGCTGCTGGCTTCCATCAAAGACTAAAAAAAGGCTAGGAACCTCATTTTTTTTTAAAAAAAAAAAAAAAAAGAAAATGGTATATTTACCTCCACCCTCCAGGATAGAAAGTAACAGCATACCTTCTAATATTATGCAAGATTGTATTTATTTCCATATATTATGTATCATATAGAATCCATACTATGGCATTTTACTGACTATGGTCTTCCTCGTGCAGGGTCAACAGAAAGCAGGACTATTGTGAGTAGTGCACAGAACACAAAATAAATTTACAGCGTCTTAAGAATCTCGCATGAACGGTGGTTCAAAGAGAACCCTTACCAACTGGCCGACTCCCGAGGTAATGGCGCAGGCTGATGTTGCCTAGCTGACTGGGTGTCACCTGGTTCACCTGAAGGCAGACTTCCGTGTCCTCTCCCCGGATGTCAATCTCTCCATGGATGCCAGTAATGTTAAACACCACGACTGACATCTATCAACGATTGTACAAATACTGTTAGAGCAAAATTAAAGAAATAATAAAAGAAACACATACTACCCTCTACAAATGCCATTCAGACGTATCCAGCAAACTGCCCTTACAGCCCCCAAAGCCTACTATCGTATGTTATAGCTTGAGCATCTCCAGTTAAAACTCAGAAACCGACTGTACTCCACGTGACAAAGTGATGCCACAGTAGGAATCCCGCACCTTTAAGCTGCTCCACAAGACTGTCCCAGGAAATAGAAAATTACCTGTAGGCTGTGCATATAAGGAATCTATGAGCAACAACCTGCTTTAAGTTTAGAATTGGGTTTCGTACACAAGATACCTCGTACTTACATGTAAAAATACAAAATTCAAAATTTTCTTGAGGCCTCCTGTATTCTGTACCCAAGAGCTTTGGAAAAAGGATGCTCAGTCTTTGTAGAAAAAAAAAAAAAACAAATGAACCTTGGCTGCTTTTGTTTTCAATCCATAAAGATGAAGTATTTGGTTACAAAGACCAATAATATGACATTTCCAGCTATGAATGGATGTTCACTAAAAGTAGGGTATGTCTAAATTCTTTCATAACATTTCACTGTGTCAAAAAGGTTATCTAAAAGAAACTAGCAACCTATTTCCTTTGTAGAAGGACCTTCACTATAAGGATCGGCTACCATCTGTGCCATCAAACTTTTAAAAAGTATCCTCAAAGGGAACTAAAATATTGGTCAAAATGTAGAAGGGACAGAAGATTGAAAAACGAAGAATAGATCTACTCCCTCCCTTCTTCAATACAAACAAAACAACACAGACAGTGAGCCTGGGAGCAGTGGGTGACTAGGCAGGAAGAATGCTCAAGAGCAACAACAGAGAAGCGACCAGCCAGTATTTAAGTTGCCATCGTGTGAATGAAGGCCTAGAGGTGCACGAATCGGCATGAAGTACAGCTGGCATTTCTTCAGAGCTCTGAGGCACTTACCAAGTCATCGCGGCTCTCTGGAGCGCCCTCAGAGTTCGTGCTGAGGGCGTCGGGAGAGGCTTCCCCGCAATTCTGTGTGTTTGCACTGGGGTTCACACTCTCTGCTGGACTCTGGCAATTTGCATTGGAGTTCCTCTTAATTGCTGAAATAATACAAAAGTAAATTAATAAGCTAAAATCTGTTTATATATGTTCCAGCAATGTTTATTTTTATCTAAAATAGACTACCCCCTTTAACTCTTTCGAGCAAAGCCTTGTTTAAGGAACACTATACAAACAGAGTCAATACGGTCCCTTAGCACAGCAATAACCTGCCAGAGACACTTTGCTGGCCAGATGTGTGTGAACTTGACACACTATAGCCATCTGAGAGAAAGAAACCTCGATTGAGAACATGCGCCATGAGAGAGGGCTATGGGCCAGCCTGTAGAGCATTTTCTTAGTGATTGATGGCGG